GACCTTGTGGCCAAGACTCTGGATCCCTGCTGCTTCAGGGGGGTCGTTGCCGACAATGGTGTTACGTCTCTCCCTTCACAGTCCCCCTGCCCCAAGCCGGCACTGGCAGCTTTGACCACCAGCAGCAGCAGCTGCTACCAGGCAGGTCTCTGGGTTGGCCTTCCTATTCTGAAGGCAGCCCTTGAGCCAGGTGGCCGTGCAAAGGGCGTGTTTGACCGCTGATCCACCGCCTCTCCCCAGAGCAGAATTCTGTATCGCTGGCTTTAAAAGTATCTTGTGAGCTCACACAGGAGGGGCTCAAAGATTCACATTCAGAATTACTTACAAATATGCGAGGAAAACGACAACAAAAGAGCTGCAGAGCCATTCAGTCTGGAGCCTGAGAGGACCCATGAAGCCACCCTCGGTCCCTTGAGCACTACTCTGCATCGCTTCAGTGGCTGTCTGTGGGCCTCCAGCCTTCCCCCTCCCCTGCTGCTCCCCGAGGGCCTGCCTGAGCCACAGCCCCCCCCCCCGTGCCTGGACACCTGGTACCGACAGCCCTCTGCAGGGCTCTGCTTGGCACTGGAGCCGTCCCGGCCTGTGGAGCATCTCCTCTGTACGTCCCGTTTCTGTCTGATGACCTTTCAGTTCTGTTTAGTGTTTCATGCCTGTGCCAAATGGGAGTTCCCTCTGCAAAGCCAGATGCCATCATCATCATCTTCTGCCTCCCACTCTGGTTTTCTGCCTTCTCATTTGCAGCTGCTCAGGTGTAAAAGCCACCTGTAGGGAATCCTAGTTTCTGAAAGTTTCCAGGTTGTATAATGCCACATATCCAATAAATATTTTCAAAACTGAAGTCACTTCGAGTTTCTCATCTCTCCGGCAATGCTGCTGCCGTTCGCAGCCCATACACGGAGGGGAGGGGGGGTAAGGGGGACCACGTGCAGAACTTTGGACCCTCCTGGAAGGAAGATGTCTGGAGCCCTCCGCCTTTTCTTTGGACCAAGTCTGGAAGCCAAAGCGGTTCTGAGGTCTCATCTCCTGCGGAGCAGAGGTTTCCTTGCTCCAGTTTAACATTTAGCGAGAACCTAACTGAAGGGACAAGACTTCCAAATCAAAGTTACCAACGGGTCTCTCTCATACCCTGTAGGGGACTACCTGGGGACCAGCAAAGACTTGTTAATTTATTCCCTCCGCCTTGGAGACATTTACTGAGGATGTCCTGAAAAAAGCAGTGATTTTGTATTTCTCAGTTAACTTTGTGAACAGAGCTCAGTCCCCTTTCCTCTGGAGGAAACTCAACCATCAATGCTGTCTCATTTTCAGAGAGGAAATTTGCTTTAAAAAGCAGAACAGACTGCTTGGGCCAAGAAACCTATAGGCACCGCTGCATTATTTAGCTCAATCATATGGGCCCGTATGAGGGAATTGGAATGATCCCCCCCCCCGGTTTATTTTGTCTGTTCCTCAGTGGAAAGCAGAGGAAGTATCTTTAAAGCATATGGGCACCTCTGCTCTTTGACCAGTGCACCCTTTAAGCTATAAATCCTGACATCGGTTTACACCACATTTAAACTTTATTTTACTTCTCTAGAGGTACTTTCCTTTTCCTCCGTGTGAAGCAGCCGGCATCTTTCCTTGAGGCCAAGTAATGGCCAATGTTTCTCAAGCACTTTCTTCCCAAGGTACCTGCCTCTAGCATCTGAGCGCCGCCCCCCCTCCCCCGGGGGTGTCTGTGCATGTCCGTATAACCGACTGCCGGGCAGTGCCTTTTCTCCTCAGCCAAAGCATCCCAAGGCCCATCCTAGCCGGAGCTTTTTATTCCCCAGGAAAACCTGGAAGAGGCTTGCATTCTTGTGCCTGGACGGCTGCTGCAGGTGTTGGGAGCAGGTGAGTTCAGCCCGTGCCTGTCTGCCTCGTCCTAAAGGGACGCTTGGGAGGAAGCGACTGCAGTGACAACTTGGGTGTTGAGGCCTTGGGTGGCTGTTAGAATTGGCACCTGTCAAGGAAGACGTTTGCTTTGCGTTTTCTAGTTTTATGGGTTTTGCCGTAGTCTTCAGTGGGTCTCCGTTCCCAGAAGCTTGGGAATTGCTGTTCTAGACCCCAGGGTGCCAGAAGTAGAGAGGAGCACCAGCCACAGCAGCAGAGAAACGCAAGGTCTGGCCACTGGATGCCAGGCCAGCCCTTGTGACCCTTCCTCTTCCCGGCAGATCAGAGACAGGTCCTCCTGCTGGCCTGTTAACACCCAAGCAACGTCAAGGCAGGGCGTTCTTTTAGGGTCTTCACTCACAAGTCCACCTTCTGCATTACGGAGAGTAGGGCAGGGGTCGTTTTGATGGTGGTATTTTCACTTCTTGTAAGAAACGTCGGCTTCTGTCCTCCATTTCTCAGTTCTTTTCATTGGAGGGATCATTCTGTGAGTGATGTTGACCCAAGTGGATGGCTGTTTTGTTTCTGGGTAGTCTTCCTCGGTCAGAACTCAAAAGCTCATGAAAGTCAAGTAGGGGAAAGCCCACAACATAAAGGAGGACCCCAAAGAACATTTCCGGCTGGGGGAGGGAATAAAGGGGAGGGGCTGTGGCTCAGTGGTAGAGCCTCTGCTGGGTGTGCCAAAGGTCCCAGGCTCAGTTCCGCCCCCATCTCCAGTTAAAGGGACCAGGCGGGAGGTGGTTGGAAGGAACTGGGAGTGACCCTGGAGGACTGGCTGCCAGTGTGGGTAGGTGAGGGGTCCCCAGCCTTTTGGAGCCTCTGGGCGCTTTAGGAGTCCTGACTGTGCGGTGGCCACAGTCGCAGAACGGCTGCTACAAAACGGCTCCTGCGGCTTCGGGGAGATCCTAGGGCTGCGGTGGCCAAAGCCAAGGAATCTGCGCAGTCACTCAAGTCTCCAGCGGTCAATTAGAAGCCTTGCTTGGTGAAGCCCCACCCACTTTCCAAAACGCTCAGTGGCAGCAGGGAAGGTGTCGGGGAGGGCCGTGGTGCCCCGGGCCCTGTGTTGGGGACGCCTGCCAGAGACAATCCCGATCTCGATGGGCCCAAAGGCGTGTGCGTGAGTGCCAGGCAGCTCCCTGCCTGTGGGAGGCAGTTCTGAAAGAGAGCAGGCGGGGGACTGAGTAGGCCAAGCCGCTACAAGTCAAGGAAGGCGCATCCACACCGGCAGCCCAATCCGAAGGCCCCGATCCTGGCACACTGCTGGCTCTCCCAGTGGAGCCAAGTGGCGGCATCCGTGGAGGAGAGGGGGTGGGCACCCACCAGTGGGCTTCCCTGCTGGAGTCTGGTAAGGTTACGCTGCCATGAATAAGATCTTTAGGGTTTGGCTGCAGCCCCGTCGCTGCTCCCGGCTGAGCGTGTGATCTGCTGCAATGCCTGCCTCTTGACTGTTTTGACTGTTTTCATTGTTCTGGTATTTACTTCTTCAACTGTTTTAACGATTATAATTTATTCTTGTGACTGTCCGGTCCCCCACAGCTATTAATCCAATACACGTTTAGGCAAAGTAGTATTTTATTAAAGCTATGATAGAGCAGGAACAAGTTCATTGTCCAGAATGCCTGGGCCAGGGTGGGCAAGGAATAATGTAAGACATTCAAACAGGGTAATAACCAATAATCTCCATTCCTGCCGAGCGGGCAGACTCCAGGTTACGCGCTCAAAAGCCTGAGAAGCAACGTTCCTTAAAACCTAAACAATTACAGCTTCACACGGTGCAGTTCATTATACATTTGGCAAAGCAGCTCCCCCACACACCTGTTAACCTTGCAGATAAGCGTTGCCTAGCGTTTACAGACAGGAATGCATGAGACAAGATCATACACAGGGAAGATAGGGCATGCGCAGATGCCAGGGGAGGGGGGGGGGAAACCAACTGCCTCCCAGTCTTCTATGGCAGCTAGCTGACAGGGACCCACCCTGAGCCCACTTGTGGGAAGAGGAGGATATAAACTGAAAGAACTAAATTGAAAGAAATAAAAGTAAGCAGAAGCGCAGCCATGGTAGCAGAGTCTGTCTGTCGCAAGCCTGCCGCAGAAATGTCAATCAAAATGTAAACACAGTGAGATGCAGGAGAGATAAATGCAAAGTTCTGCCTTTGGGCCAAAAGACTTGAATGCACAGGGGTGTGGAAAGGATGTTGGGAATACCTGGCTGGGCAGGAGCACACCCGAAAAGGATCTCGGGGTGGCAGTCAGTCACCTGAGCCAGCAGTGTGATGCGGCTGCAAGAACAGTGAATATGATTGAGGGCTGCATCCCAGTGCTCTGGAGTGTGGCATCCAGCTCTGGGGCACCGAGCGCTTCAAGACAGGCCCGTAGCCAGGATTCCTTAAATTGGGGGGGGGGGTTTGTAAAAAGTCAGGGGGCTATCTGGCAGCACACCTTAAAGACAAACAAAATTTTCCCACCCATTTGCAACCCCTAAACCAGTGGTGGCGAACCTATGGGACAGGTGCCAGAGGTGGCACTCAGAGCCCTCTCTGTGGGCACACATGCCATCGCCCCAGCCATGCCCAGACCCTCATTAAAGTGTCGAATTCTCTGCCAAATAATGTTAAGTAAACGATTGCTTTCCTTACTTTGTTTGGATCATCCTAAGTCAATGTGTGAGTTCTTTTTTCTAAAGTAAAACCAGGTCAGTATTCAGGTTGCCGTGTGGGCCCTTTGCGATCAATAAGTGGGTCTTGGGTCGCAGTTTGGGCACTCGGTCTCTAAAAGGCTCGCCACCACTGCCCTAGGCCAACCACCTGGCTGCACCAGGGTCCCCAGGGCGCACACCTCCTCCTCTGCCAGCGCTCAGCACTCCAAAGAGGTGCCCCCCCCCCCGGCCTGGCTCTCATGCTGCCGGAAGTTCCTGCACCGCACTGGGCATGGCGGGGGGGGGGCGGCTGTCCCACTCCGGCGGGCCGGA